CAACAGTGAAGGTAGGGCAGGTAATCTTAGGTAACACTAATCTGATACGCTGTTGGTGGTCTATTGCGGTTCTCGTAATGTTTCATTTCTTTTCATAATCGCTTTCTTCGGCATACGATGCGGGATGTTCCTTGATTAATAAATCCGCAATATAAGACCCTGGTAAGAAAGAAACGAGAGCGGTGACTCATGGTTGCAGTTTTTAGTTCTTTGTATGAAGACAAAGAACACGTTTTCCACTTTTATAGGTTTTTTCCCTATGTAAAAGAGGGGACAGTTTGGCTCTAAGTTGTTAAGTTTACCGTCGATTCTCATGAAATGCTATCAGAAAATTTCAATTAGTATCTGTAATAATCGTGGAGAAATCCCATAAGAACACCTATATGGCTGCAATAGCTTATGCTCTAAGTTTCACAAGAATAAGTTCTTTAAAACAAGGAATTTAAACAAAATAAAATCTGAATCATAAGAACATTTAAATTTTTCCGTTTGAGAACTAGAATACAATCTAATGAGAACACGTTTCGTGTTCATTTCTGTTTATGTTATAACTAATATTAATTAAATAACGTATGCATGAGTCCAAATATTTATATAAAATGCAGGTTTTACAGGAATTATTTTCGCATGCCAGGCTTAACTGCAAAATTCGCTCAGGTACACGGTGACGTTGAAAGCTGTAATGTCACTCGCACTCAGAGGAGCTTTGTTAGCTTGACGTTGAGAGCAAAAAAGTCAAACTGCTATTGGATTAAGTCTGATTTTGTATTAATAGTGGATACTCCATTTAATTTGGAATCTTCTACCCATCAATTTTTGAAATGTATGTTTTTAACCAGTTAGTAAGTATAGTAACAAAGAATATTTTAACAATGTTCGTCTACAAGGGCGACACATTGTCCAAACGTAGGACACGATGTCCATAGGAACGTGAAAACGTATATTTACATAATGTTAAAACAACAAGGAATGAATCTTCAACTTAACGTTTTCCCAAAAAAGATGCACGTTTCGCCCTTAAGTTTGGAAATTTGTAAAGAATTCTTTGGAACTAGGCTATAAAATGAGTCATTTTATTTCAGGGAACAAAAAATGAAGCTTGTGATTAAAACATTGAACCCTCCTAAACGCTCCAAATATATGTTCTACGTAGTTTAATTATTCCAGTGTTCATAATATCAGTTTTTAAAAATCGAATTTATTTGATTCTTCTTTATTTCCTCGTAATCAGAGTTCATTGAAAAAATTATTCTCTAGCAATGAAACGAAGTTTTACATCCGTCGGTTGGCAAGTGAGGCCAAGAATTGTTCCGTATTCTATTTTTTCTCCTTCTGGTAGAACTTTGAACTTTTGCATTATAGTAGTAAAGTAGTGCAGTAATGATACCAAAGCCACCATTTCACCAGGACAACTTCTTTTTCCTATTTAATAAAACAAAATTGCATTAGTATATAATACTACAAGAATATATAAGAGGTTACTAAAAATAGAAACTGAAACCATTTAATAAAGATAAATCATGAAGCATAAGTTCTAGTATCCAGTACTAAATTCCAGACGCGATACATTTCGCACCAGAAAAAAATTACATCCATTGAAAATGAATAAATGTATTTATTATAGCAAATCTTCATGGTCAGAGACTCTGCTGTAGCTGCTAGTTATAATATTGCATACGAAATTCAAACAAATCATATACAGTCGAGCCCTGCAAACAAAGAACTTCAAGAGACGGAAAGTTTGGTTCACTACATCCGAACCGATAAGAAAAATTTATTATACCACGAAAACATGTAAAAATGAAATAGGCAATACAGGAAAAACTCATTAATATTGTCATATCCACCAAAAGAGGTTAATCATAAATTTAATTTAAACAAAAATATTATTAAGATTTTATTGCAACTATTATTACGTGCAGTTACTAAATTTACTATTCGTTATTTTCCAGTCTGTGGGGGAAAAATAAAAATAAAAGTGTTTGTGGCAAATTCCCACACACAGTCGTGTCTGTGACACTTAAAGTGTTTATTTGCCTTTAAAATGTTTATTTCCAGATATTGGCAAGGAATGGCTTCTTTGAATGACGAACCATTTCAAAAATTCTTCTTGAACATCTCTACCTTTCTGAACCTTTACCTTGCACCCGAAGTTTTTCCGCAGAAGAAATTTTAGAATAGGACCAGATGCGGATTTAGCTAAATTGCATTTTTGGAAGATATAAATTTCAGTGTACCCATTTTCTATTTTTAGAATAAGGTTCATATTATCTTCAGTGCAGCAGCTTTACATTTATAGTTCGCCATGCGAACGAATTTATAAAGAATCTTATGTCTACAAGACCTAAGGAACGCAAAACTAATCCTAGTTGGAGGATAGGGCTTGATGAGTATTTATACTATACTCAAACGAAACAAATCGGTAAGGGACTTTTCATTCCCTTAAAGAAAAATTAATTGGAAAACCGCAAGCACATAAGATTCAATACTTCCTCTGTACTTGAATAGTGAAATTTTGAAAATTTTCATCATAACATCAACTTTGAACAGAGGCCTCAGTGGCATCTCAAACAAAGAATTTGAGTGGAACCAGATAATCCATTCATATGTTTTGGTTCAATGGGTCATGTTCACCATTCCAAACGGTGAACAATTTTCGCCATTTTTTCGCCATCACCGTGTGATTGCCATTGTGGCAAAGTGGCACTAAAATAATAAAATTCCCCTTCGTTGGTTTTATATACTACGGTGTTCGGTTAAATTAAGTATAAAACGCAGTTATAACACACTCACATCTTTATTCAACTGCAGACAAGACTTCAAAAGTAAACAAAACATTTTGTTGCTATTCCACAAAAGATAATTTTAAGGTTATTTCATAGCATTCATTTTCAACAACCATCTCCTGGCAGCTCGATAGAGATTAGCTCTATTAGACACTGATGCTTAACAAAGAAGAAGGAAGGTGTGTTCAAATAACAGAACTATTTTTATTCGCTTCAAAAGAATGCTTAGCTTGCCATTTAACAACACCCAAAAGCAATGTACTTTTACATTGCACTAACGGGATGCATGAAGGCACCAAATGGAAAATACGTAAGTAGCAAATTTGCACACCAAATAATGTATGTAATATAATATTTTTTCAATTTATTATTGCTAAATGTAATTTATTAAGTTTATTACTAGTTTTTCTTCTCTAAAAAGGTGCCAAACTGTGCCAAGATGGTTGCGCTAATAACAATAAAAGAACATTATATAAAGAACCCATTCAAATAATTAGCCCAGAAGGGAGATTAGTTTCGTTTTGGCATTTTACGTCGAACCACTATAATCAGCGTATCACTTTTCAAACTGTTGCCAGCAAATGTTAGACCCCCTGCATTACACTTAAAGAAATTAAATAATGAAGAATCTGTGTAAAATGTATTTTTCTTGCATTGTGATAAAACAATGGTACCTAGAGCCAACCAATTTTGAATAACGTAATCCTCCACTCGAATATGGACATCTGGAAGCCCTAATTTGGAATTTGTTTTATTATCTACTTCATATTTTGTAAAACTTGAACGAATTTCTGATTAACAAGCTCAACGATTTCAAAGCGAGCAATGCCAACATTGTATGAAAAAAATCTCCAGCGAGCGAGACTGTGTATCGGAAATTCTAAAGATATGCTCTGTTGCTGATGATTGCTGTTGATTTGAAATTTATGGTTTAAGTGCGAAGAACATTATATTTAATAATTAAATGTAACATACAAAACGTTAAAAAAACGCCCCTTTGAGAATAACACAAAATCTGAAAGATTTTTTTTTTTTTTTTTTTTTTTTTTTTTGTTTTGTTTTGTTTCTTTGTTCGTAATTTCTTAATGAATTAATAACAGAAGTTTCATGCATATATACTTGTAAGCATTTTTTTATTTTTATCTAGCGAGTTATTTTATATTATGTAGTTTTACTGCCTTCTCCTTTCCCGTTTTCCTGCTAGAATGCTAATTTTAGTTCGCACGCATTCAAATAAGGTAAAGAGTATTTAAAGGAAGGTTACTAGATTACTCAGTCAGAGCGTGTTTCGCCTGCTGAAGGCCACGCTACTATAATCTTAATTGTATTATAGTCGAAACTCTTTGATTGCTGTCTTTCTTCGGCTTTGTGTTATTCTTGCCATAAGACTTGTCACGCCGGCTTAAGTTGGAGCCAACTTGCACGTTATTCATTTTGTGTTGTCTTTGGCTAACTAACGACTGATCTTTGTTTAAATTTGAATTGATTACGTTTGAGTCACGACATGGTTTTATAAGCTCAAGAAGCGCCTCCTGTTAAATTATCGAGTTTTAATAGAAAGGTCATTTGTAGCATTCTATTAAAAAGAAATTAAGAATGACTTCTATAAAAAGAAATTAAAGTAAGAAAGGTCTTTTACACCCTTCCTAACATTCTCTGTCTTCTTATTGGGCATAGTAATAAGTAGTTTAGTTTCAGCTTGAGTCTCGTTTTAGTTTATGCTTCCCAAGACGGGGACACTCTACAACTTATTATGATTTATAAATGTTTGAAAAGCTTTTATAAATCTAATAATATAAATCCATGTTTAAAGTAATAACAGATGAATTATCATTTGAAAGGAAAGAAATGGGTTTATTAAAGAAATAACTGTATCCGAAACGTTTAAACTGATGAGCCCATAGGAATTAATATATAGGATTGGAGAAGGCTTTAACTAAGGTTATGTTCTTTAAAATTTCTCCAATTCATTACTCCGACCAGCGGTCGAGCAGTAAAATCACTGAACTCTGGTAGTTCGATTTGATTCAAATTCCGATGACCGGGCTGGCTGTATGGAAATTTTCATGATTTAGCCAAGCTCAGAAGACAAAGTTAGGGTCTTCACAAGGCTGACGTCACTTACTCACATAAGCGGCAGAAATAACGGCACATGGGGAATAAATGCTTTTGAGTAAACCTGGAATCAATGACGCGACACAAAAGAAAACGTTGTAGCTTAGCAGCCTGGATTTTGCCCCACGCGTAACGTGAATACTTGGCAGTTTACTTTAAAAAGTCTTCCACAATGAATTCCCTTTTTTAGGTAGATAGCTGCTGTATTCAAATAACAAACGTAAAGCTTTTTCATAACGTGTAACTAGGTTAATCTAACTTATTTTCCGATGCTATTCCCATAATCAAAAGCATCAGAAAATATTCACTTGCCAAATGTCAAATTACATTTCCATAAAGAAGTTTTTCACGCAAATTTGTTCGTCTTTGCAGTACGCATTTTCTGAGATAAAAGATCCTCATTTTTTCTTTTGAATTGTAAAAGTGCATTACATATATCCTTCTATGAAGCAGAATGATTTAAAAATAATTATCAAGAAAAAAAGAAAATCTGAAATGTTTCAGATTTTAAATTACGTCCAAAGGGGCGTTTTTTAAAAACATTTTGACTGTTGCCTTTATTTACTAAATACTAGCAGCTTCGCTGCCAGCCTTCGTCTGGCTTTTAAATGTACCGGGAAAATGGCTGAGGGAACACCAAACGTTAAATTTAAAAACTGCGTAGAATTTTACTCAGCAGAACAACTTCATAAAAAAAGTTATTACGTATAACAAAATTACAATGAAATAAGCAATATCCCTTAATACAAATAAATTAACCAACTTCCCTTTGCAAAATCTTAGGAACTCAAATGGTATAAAGGAGGTTAAGAACTTTGTTTCCTAAAAAAATCACTCAAAACTTTTCAATATCTTAAAAACAGTGAAATGAGCAATAAATAACATAAAAGAATACAAAAAATTCTGAAAAGCAAAGTACAATTATTGATTGTCTATCTCATATTTTCAAGACAAAAAATATTACAATGAAATAAGCTAAATCCCTTAATACAAATATTAATTATCCTAATAAAAAAATTAACCAACTTTTCGTTGAAGAAAAAAAAATCATGCAAAACTTTTCAATATCTTACAGACAGTGAAATAAGCAAAAAATAACATGAAAGAAACTCAAAAAACAAAACTTTCCGCGCACAATTTTACTCTGCAGAACAACGTTATCAAAAAAAATCAATAAAAATGTATCAGGTTCAATGTTCCTTCTAACCTTCTTCGGGAACATACAAGGATCTGACTAGGAACAGAGAGCTTACTAAAGCTATGTTCACTAATTGTAGTAAGTAGACAGGATACAGACGAAGGGTATACAAAACCCTTTATTTTTCTCTATATACAATAACTTCCGTACTTCGGAATACAATGACCCGCCACTCGGGGTCTAACGTAAAAGTATAAAAATAAAACTAAACTCTAATTTAACTTTAGAATAATACACGTGGAAGATTGGCCTTATAATAACAGGAAGCGTATGTAGCACAGAAACTGTGAACACTACAATACGTTTAATTTATCAAGAGGATTAAAACCTCTGGCCTGGAAGGCAAACAGCAACTGCGTAACTTCTAAGGTAAGCGGCCTGCGTTGACTCACTGCTTCCTCTCTCTTGCTTGGCAAAAAGCCACAACTTAAATACTTGGCGTTCGCCAGACAAACTTTGCATAAAACCCTTCACGCTTATAATTCTGGCCGGAAGTAGAAAATAAGAAGTGATAGTAAAGATTTAAAATAAAATAAACGTTAGTAAAACTTAAGATCCTTACAAATGTATTACATATATAAAAAAATCTTATGTGTACACCACATGACTTCCTTGTACGGAATATTAAATTATACGCAATTTTTTCTTGAATTTCATTTAAATTGATTGGATTGAATTAAATCTACTTCTTCGACAGCGCATAAACCACAGTAGAATAAATGCACTCTCTAAAATTCACTATATTTGTTTACTATAACGACACTCTGAATGCACAAAATTTATATCATTTGAAGAATTACGTTGCCACATGTTCTATTCAAATACTATAATAAAGCTAAAACGATGTATGAAAGAAATTAAGCAAACAAAACAGAAAAGAAACAGTTTTTCACAGACGATTTAGTATTTCTCATTCAATTAATACAGTTCTCACTTCGCGACAAGGCAAAATACGTAAAAACTCAAAATATCTTTGCATTAAAAATTACGAAGAAAATCTTAAACACTTATTTCCTCGAAAAAATTCCAGAAGGGATTAAGCATGATTTAATTCGCAATAATAAATGAAGACGTTATTTTTGTGTTGCGAAGCTTAGTCTCTCTAGATTGGCAACAAATCTACAATTCTGCTGTTTCAAATGTAAACAAATATGTCCGCCATGTTATTTAAAACTTAACCGCACTTAAACAACTTTTAAATTGTTGATAATTGTACAAATATTGCTTCCAGAATTACGAAAAGCATAAAAACCTTAACCAAAGATAAAAACAACATAATTCAATCATTTTTAAAGCAAAAAATGTACAATTTACAAACATATAAGAGTAAAGAAACTGAGATCACTGAGCCGGGTAACAGAGTGGATATATATATAAATATATTTATATACGTTTGGTGCGGCCGATTGCAACCAAAATACGAGGTGCACATCTACATGTTATATCAGTCCTATATACAAAATTTCAACGTTTTGAGGATACTCGTTTTTGAGTTATGCGAGATACGCACGTACGTACGTACATACGTTCGTTCAGGCGCCACGAAAAATTCTCTTCAGAATTCATTAAAGCAGTTTTATAATTTTTTTGGAGGAAACGAGTCTTTTATTCTGTCCTTACGTACAGATATCACGCAAAAACATCGTTAAATTGCTTTCGATAGCGGTCAAAATGGATATTTTCGTTGAAATATGCTGCCTGAAACTTTTCCCGATTACAATACTTTCTTTTTACTTCGTACAAGGAAGTAAAAATGACAATGAAATATGCCAAACTCTTAAAAACAGTGACATAAGAAATACGATGAAAAATTGTTCCCAAAAATCAAAGAAAAATAAACTGTACCTTTTTAAAAATAAACTTTTTTAGAAAAAATCCCGTTGAAAAAGTGTTAATCTCACTTTGTTAAATAAATTCGTATTTAATCGATTTATTGAAACACGAAATTTATTTTAAGTTCGTAAAATAGCTAAGTGCCTACGTTTCATGGCGATGTGAAAATCGAGTGTGTAGAGTAAAATCTCGCTTACCTATAGCCCATTATGTCTCAAAATGACGCCATTTCGTCACAAAACATAAAATTAAAAAAATTCTAATTCGAATTTCGAAAAAATCGCTTCGAGGTGCACTGGCTCTTGTCTAGATGCACCTATGTACCAATTTCGTAGCCGTGGGTTTATTAGCTTACGCGCAGCGCGAACGAAAGACACACCACGCGTACAGACAAACTCTTTCTTTTATTATATGTAGAGATCATTTTCTTTGAACTTAAATTCAGTTCAACAGCAATATCGCAAAATGGTTTTAAATTGAGCATATCTTTAGAATTTCCGATACAGAGACTAACGCGCTGGAGATAAAAATGTTACCACGTTGCCATTGCTCGCTTTGAAATCATTGACTTTGTTAATCAAAAATTCGTTAAAGTTTTACAAAACAGGAAATCGATAATAAAACAAATTCCAAATTTCAAATTTGGTCTTCCACATGCCCATATTCGCAGGAGGATTACGTCATTCAAAATTCGATGGCTCTATGTACCGTTGTTTTATCACAATGCGAGAAATATGCATACATTTACGCAGATTTTTCATCATTTAATTTCTTCAAATATAACACAGTGCGATAATACTTTGTGGCAACAGTTTGAAAAGGGATTCGCCGTTTGTAGTGATCCTACGCAAAATCGCAAAACGAAAACAATAGTTCTTCAGGAACAAATCCCTTTGGGCTAATAATATATCTTTTAACATTTTTGATGTTTAAAATGTCTTAAGCGGAATCGTTAGAAAAATTTGATTGTTTCATTATGCTAGTATGCGTTTATTATTAACTCGATATGACAAATGTTATCGAATTACAAAGTGTAAGTTATTTTCATTATCTTCTATGTGTACATTTCTCAGGATATTGTTTTTCGTTAAAGCTAAAAACTTTGTTAATATTCTAGCTAAATTAACGCTATTTTATTGGCTAGATCTTTACTTCAACTGTGAAACGATTACTAGCTATGTTCAGTTGTATCAGTAACAATACGTGGAAAGGGTAAAAAGATCCTTCTATTCAACTCAAGAAAGGTATTTACAGTCAGCAATCCTGGTACTTTCAAATCTACGCCAAAACTTTTGGCGACAACTCAAAAATACAAATCTAAAATTAAAACTGAGCCTAAATCAAATAATCAGCAGAAGCGGTACAGAGATATTTAACGTGCAGTTGACTCTTAGTCCTACCATCGACTTAGACTAACCAGCAATTAATATGCACGGCAGTAAAATAGCAAGTTTAACTAGCAGAGAAACAATTTGACCAAAAAGAATGATCTGTCTGAAATAATTCAGACTCCAGCTAATCTTTCTACAGCAGTAACTTTCTACCCTACTATCTTATCACGAGAAACTGAAATCTCATTTTGTCAAGAAAACAAGAGTAATAGGAAAGGTTACTTCAAAATAAAATTAACTGTTAAGCAAATTAAATAAGCCCCACAAACGGATGAACAATTTAAATGCTCCACCTATGGTCAACTGACTGAATACTCGACTGACTGAGCTCGATCAAGTTCAAATCCGAAGAATAGGGTCAATTTTCATCGTTTTTGCGCATGTGTAATGTGAAATCAGCTAGTTATCCTTAGAACGTCCTTCACGAAGGTATCTTACTTTCTTAAACAGTTATCTCTCATTTGCTTTGGGTGGATCGGTTTGGGTTTACATCCTGGTAAACGGGCTGGCTGCATGGACGTTTTCATGACATTTCTCCTATATAACTGAGCCAATTTCCTTTACGAAGGCATCCTTTTTCTCACGCAGATAGCCATCGTGTGCTTTGCCATAATGAAACAAACCATACTTCACATTCTTTGTTGCTGTTATCAACTAACTGAGGCATTTAAATGAGTATTAGGAAATCCGAATTTAGATTATTTAATAAAATATAAAACAGTTGGATCGGCTGATTTATGTATTAAGGTAAACCAAGGGAAAAACCACATATATAAAATATGAAGAATTTGGGAAAACATTTCCAATGAAATCTGCCTGCTGAATAAAAAGATTTGGTTCATTTTTGAAAATAACTTTATCATACAGATATGATAGCAACAAAAATATTCTATCAATGTATTAAGGATGGATGACTCACCGTATGAAAATGGACTGTAGCTGTCTGGCTGGTAATTAACCCGCTTTCCGTCATCCAACAAGTAACGCTCTGGAATGAATTTCTCAGGTTCGGGCCAATATTTTGGATCGTTATGGAGAAGCCATGTATTCCCTAAGATGTAAGTGCCTCTTGGTATGTCGTAACCCTGTACTTTTATGTCTTCGCTTGCCCTGCAGGGAAAATAATACAGTTATTATCATTCCTTTTTTGGTTATGATAATCATTAAGCAAGTATTTCATTAAAGGTTTCTATTTAAAAATTATATAAAAAGTACTCAAATTAAAGATTTGTTAGAAATTAAACAGAAACGCAAAATCAATGTAAGCGAGGATCATTAAATTTGTATACTTTAATATTATTATGCTACAGATTATATTATTACCGTATATTCCGACGTATAACGCGCACCTGTAATTTGAAAATGCATTAAAGTACGTTTATTGATTTTTAGGTATATTCGCCGTATAACGCGCACCCTTTTCTTTACGAAGACACCTGGAAGATACATGTGCGATGTTCTATCGTTTGAAGTCATTCGTTCGAAGATTTTTCCCAGGAGTTCGAACAATGCGTAGTGAAATGACTAGCGATAAGGGGAACAATACCTGTGTGGAGGGAAATGCCTAAGAGACTAAATAATTCTGCAAAGAACGGTGGATTGCAGTCTACGCAAATGGGTACAATAATGTTAGTCTATGGTTTCGAGGAAAGGTGGAGAGAATTTGGGGTAAGAATACCTTTCCAACCTGAATGAATTCGCAGAATTAGGAGTCAGATGTTTTCTGTTTCTGTAGACATTTGAAGCCATGATTTTGAAATAAGCAAATACTACTAGTGTTCCTTTTAGAAGTAAATATGGCTTCTTCCAAAAGAAACAACATAGTGCTCGTTTCAAATGCAATTTCATTCAGTTTGCGAAAGAAAGTGCAAATGCTACTGCAGGAAGGTTGTTTGGTGTTCGTGAAAGATGAAAAGAAGGATGATTATTTATTTATGGATCATAGTAACAACGATGCTAAAGATGAAACCGAATTCGAGGATGTGCCTGAAGGTATACGGAAGATGAACAAGACGAAGGTTTCCATGTTATCCAATAATGCACATTTTCAATTTTATAAGGTATATTATTTCTTTTAAATAAAAAACATTTAGGTACATGTAAAAATCTAATTTTTGTTTGCTGATATTTTCCTTATTACTTCCTTGTACGAAATAAAAAGGAAGTATTGTAATCGCGAAAAGTTTCAGACAGCATATTTCAACGAAAATATCCATTTTGACCGCTATCGAATGCAATTTAATGATGTTTTTGAGTGATATCTGTACCTAAGGGACAGAATAAAATACTCTTTTCCTCCAAAAAATTATAAAACTGCTTTAAAATGAAATCTGAAGAGAATTTTTCGGGCCGTCTGTACGAACGTATGTACGTACGTATCTCGCATAACTCAAAAACGAGTAGCCTCAGAACGTTGAAATTTTATATATAGGACTGCTATAACATGTAGATGTGTACCTCGTATTTTGGTTGCAATCGGGCCGCACCAAACCTATATAAATATATTTATATATCTCCAAGTAGCTGAAAGTATCCATTTCCAGTCAATGATCGGTTCAGTTGCACCAAAGGACCGAGTCCATGCCATGTAAAAACAGCTCAGATCATTATGGAACCACCACCAGTTTGAACAGTGCCTTGTTGACAACTTGGCTCCATGGCTTCGTGGGGTCTGCGCCACACTCGAACCCTACCATCAGCTCTTACCAACTGAAATCGTGACTCATCTGACCAAGCCACGGTATTCCATTCGTTTAGGGACCAACCGATATGCTCACGAGTCCACGAGAGTCGCTGCAGGCGATGTCGTGCTGTCAGTAAAGGCACTCGAGTCGGTCTTCTGCTGGCATAGCATAAGGAAGACAAATTTCGCCGCACTGTCCTATCGGACACGTCCCTCGTACGTCCCACATTGATTTCTGCGGTTATTTGACGCAGTGTTGCTTGTCTGTGAACATTGACAACTCTACGCAGACGTCGCTGGTCTCGGTCGTTAAGTGTAGGTGGTCGGCCACTGCGTTGTCCATGGTGGGATGTTATGCCTGAAATTAGATACTGTCGGCACACTCTTGACACTGTGGATCTCGGAATGTTGAATTCCCTAACGATATCCGAAATGGAATGACCCATGCGTCTAGCTCCAACTACCATTCCGCGTTCAAAGTCTGTTAATTCTCGTCGTGCGGCCATAATCACGTCAAAGCCTCTTCACATGAATACCTTGAACACAAATGAAAGCCCTGCCAAAGCACTTCGCATTTATACATTTTTTACGCGATACTACTGCCATCTGTATTTGCATATTGCTATCCCATGAATTTTGTCACTTCAGTGTATATCCACTCTGTTACCCGGATCAGTGATCTCAGTTTCTTTACTTGTATAAGCTTGTAAATTGTGCATTTTTTGCTTTAAAAATAATTGAATTATGTTGTTCTTATGTTCCGGTTAAGGTATTTATGCCTTTAGTAAATCTGTATGCAATATTTTTAGAATTATCAACAATTTTTAAGTTGTTTAAGTGCCGCTAAACCTAATAATTTTTTTCATGGTGGCCATTGTTTGTTTACATTTGAAACAGCAACGTAGTGGATTTGTTGCCAATCTAGAGAAACTTAGCTTCGCATCAACAAAGATAACGCCATCATTTATTATTGCGAATTAAATCATGCTTAATCCTTTCTGGAATTTTTTCGAGGAAAATAAGTGTTTAAGCATTTACTTCGTAATTTTTAAATATAGATATTTTGATTTTTTATGTATTTTAGCCTTCTCGCGAAGTGAGAACTGAATTAATTGAATTGAGAAATACTGAAATCGTCTGTGAAAAAGTATTTCTTTTCTTGTTTTGTTTGCTTAATTTCTTTTATACATCGTTCTAGCTTTATTATAGTATTTGAACAGAACATGTGGCAACGATTAGATAATTCTTTAAATGATATAATTTTTGTGCGTTCTGAGTTATAATACGAACCAAATATAATACTGTTAAGTGGGTCTAGTGCCAGAGTGTCGCTATGGTAAACAAATAGAGTGAATTTTAAAGAATGCATTTATCCTATTGTGGTTTATGCGCTGTCGGCGAAGTAAATTTAATTCAATCCAATAAGTTTAAATGAAATGCTAGAAAAAATGCGTATAATTTAATATTCCGTACAAGGAAATCATATGGTGTACACATCAGATTTTTTTAATCTATCATTTTTATATTCGCCGTATAACTCGCACCCGTAAATTTCGACCTTATTTTTTGTATTAAAAGTGCAGGTTATTTTCCAGAATATGGGGTAAATTATACAGCACTTTAGAGTTTTTAAAGTCAGTGAACGTGAGAAATGCGAATGCTCTATCCGGGATTCGAATTTGGGACCTTCTGATTGCTATCCGGACGCACTTTCCATTTATGAGATGTTCGCCAAATGAATTACTCTTTGCGGAAAAGGAAAAATGTGACCCAACTATATTTTGGAATTATTTGGTGCCTTTCTCAATAAAGTTCATAAAATTTGGTTTTTAGGCATAATTTTGAGTCGTAGAATCGAAATGAAAAAATATGTTGTCATTTCAGAAAGAGTCCGATTTTGTGTAAAAATTCGTATGTTCGTACAAAGCTGCATATAAATCTAATATATATATATATATATCAAGTCGCGCTCTCGAGACATGAAAAACGTGAATTTCGTCAATCAGACGAGTAAAATGGCAAATATAAAACTGAACCCTCCTTTTTTGTAAGTTGGTGCACAAATACTGAAAATGATTATGTAAAAGGTTTTACGAAAGAATGAAATATAGCTAAGGTTTCAAAATCTAAAAATCTTACATTCGAATACTGTTTATTGGCACCAATGTGTACCACCTCATGGACTCCATGATGACTGCGTAAGTATAGGGAACTTTTGACCGCTCAGCCCATTTGATACATCCGTCTTTTCCCAGTACGTGATCCAGTTCTTCATGTACTTTCTTTTGTATCTCAGGAAACTGTGCCACCGCCATTAGCAGGTATATAAGACTGGACCTTGTTGAATCGCTGCCTCCGATTAGCAGAGTTTGAGTGTTGCCGCGCAGATAGGTTTCTGTAATGTTTTCACATAATATTATTCATAAAAGAAAAAAAAACCTCGATACTTTTCATTTAACTGAATGATAATCGTCAAACTGTGCGTGAAAGCCCAAGATGTACTAACCTGTTGATTTTACTTCAAGAGCAACCACGAGGAATATAATAACGTCATTCAAGATTTTCAGATTTTTTTTAAATTTGAAATATTTTCCTTCTCTAAAAATATAGCGAATCTAGTTGTTGCCATTATTTTAATATATGACGACTAACTGAGGATTGACATGTGTAACGTGTACTATAGAAAACGTTGCTTACAAAAACTAATACTTTTTATTTTTTAATAACAATAATTAAAAAAAGTGTTGTACATTACCTGACGAGGAAAAGAAAAGTGTTTGCGTAGCCATGTTCAGTTGTTTGTTATATGACAGCATCACTGCTTACTTTGAGGATATTTAATGTCTTGGTGTCATAAGAGAGGAAGCAATTAAATGCTGCTTGTTCTTAATAAAGCGGCTTATTTCGTAGGAGAAATCTTTGTTCGAATGCTTATTGTTTCTTCATAAAAGTCACATATAAATGCTGTAGCGTGAAACATTTATAGATGACTTTCAAGAAATCAACTGGTGGATAACTTCAGTTGTCTACCAGTTCAACTACAATTGTACTCCCCTATCCACTGATTTCATACTCAGAACAGCAAAAAAAAAGAGGTTTTCGTTAAGTTGCGCGTTTCGAAAGGAAAGCAAAGTCATGATCATCACTCATCATCATATGTAACGTAACCGAAATTTAACAGCTTAAACATTCTCTTATTGTTTTCCCACGCATATTCACGACCGTTTGGCGACAATGTATGCAGAATGAAATTTCATTGTGAAACGTTATACATGTTATGTTATATGCGACACAGTACAAGAATTGCATTCTTCATTTCTCGCTCATCGTTTTGTGCATTAAGTTCAAATGTCAAAATCCTTTTTCTTCAAACTAGAATATACTTTTACGCATATTCTTGTACACTAGAATATACGTAAAAGTACTATATTCTAGTGTACAATATGCTGTTTTATATTACTTCATTTAGTACTATATCATAAATTGTTGTATACAAAATATTTCATTATTATTTAATTTTGGTAATGTCCTTTTTGCGTAACCAATTATATTCACTGATACTTATTTAAGCTTCTTTTACAAAGTACTAGATTGTATTACCGAGGATAATGAGCTTAAAGTATCAAATTTTTCTAGCAAAGACAGTTTCATACTAAAATTCAAAACTAACCTTATCTGTTTTAAAACAGGCATTTCGCTCATAATCATAATCTCCGTGTAATAAAATTTGTGAAATTATTAACTGTATCTTTCAAAGATCAATAACCTCAACGGTGTTCGAGAAGTTAAAAAGTTCTTGGACACTGGGAGTTAGATCATATAGTTCAAATCCACGGTGACTGGGCTGGTTGCATGAACGTCTTTGCGATTTTCTACATGCGCAACATGAATATGAGCCAGTTTTTTTTTTAAACGTCCTCCACAAAGTCATCTCTCACATAAGGAAGATAGCCCTTGCCTCCTTTGCCATAATCAAACAAACCAAACATGAGTGTATATGAATGATCTCTCATAGATAATAAAAATATAAGAGTATAATTAACATACCTGTGAAACTGGTGGACATTTTGCTTTTAATATTTAGTTTCATTTCATTGCAGTACGTGTCCACGAAGTTATCATCACTTTCTTTCTCATTTCTATTCATGATCATTTTACTAAAAAAACGTCAAGTATAACAAGTATAAAAATATGGAAAAACGGTAAAAGCAAAAATCAAATTAAAATAGAACAGCAGATTCCCGATTAAACGAATATTCAGTTAATATGAAAAACACACAAGCAGCATTTATAAATTGTAAGTCGGATAAAATTTCATACTAAAACACGCAAATATGATAAGGACTATTTGTTGTTTTTGTTTTTTGAGCAATCATTTGTGCGGGACTCTAAGTGACATTAAAATTTCGATTATTATGTATTACATAAAATGCAATAGAAGCTCGATCTTTGCAGTACTGCGTCTGTAAGAATTGTGGAGCCGGAGGGGCTTCGGCCGATGGCAAGAAGAGCAAGTGTACGGAATTATTAATCTGAAATTATTATCTTAATCTTAAGTGTACGGAAGTTTGCGATACACTAGTACAAAAACTAAGGATGAAAAATGTTTGCGTATGTAAAGTTGCGTAGCATGTTTCAAATCGCTACAAAGCATGCCATATCATCTTCGAGTTCTAAGACTTCAGAAAGCTGAACTATACTAACCAAAAAAAGAATCCAAAGGCTGAAGAAGTCCTTCATTCAAAAGTAAATTTCGAGAACAGCAAGTAGAAGACAAACACGTCTATATAATAGGCTACAAAGAAAAGCTCGTAAACTTAGCAAACTGCAATTTTCAGCAGAGAATATAATCACTTCTCAATATGAGATCAAATGTACTCCATCTGTTCATTCTCAATACGAGGTTCTCGATGATCCCCTGGCCATCATGGCAAATTTATATTTTCTTGTACCATTAATCGCGGCTGCAAAACGTTTTTTGACGGCTAGTGATCAACTCTTTGCCATGAACCTCCCGAGAATTTCCCACACGTATTAAATTCCATTTAGTTCAAGGGACTACGTGAGTCTATCCAAGCTCCGCTCCAATACCTCATCGAAATCCTCTGTATAATGAGATGCAACTTCGTCGTCTATGAAGAACTCGCGGTCGCCGGCATCTTTTATTGGACGTGAGAAAGGGCAACTTCTGTACAATAATCACCAGTAAATGAGTCTGGAAGATGTGGGGTTCCGTACGTCCAACCAGCCATTACACCTTTCTCAGCGAGAACCCCTCCACTTAAAAAAAGATGACTTTCGACGATGTTGGAAGGTAACTGCATGTTCTGCGCTCACTGCAGACGTTTAAATATTCGTGTTGGTGTATTTAGTTACGGCAGAGCACACTAGGGCTATCTGCCTAAGGGGAGGGATGCCTTCGTGGAGGAATTTCTAAGGGAAACTGGCTCGTATACACGTTACACATGGGGAAAACCACGAAAACACCCATGCAGCCAGCCCGTTCGCGGGATTCGAACCTCGGACCGAACTACCAGTGTTCAGCGACTTTACCGCTCGGCCGCTGGTGAGCCTTTAAATATTCGAAACCGTCTGTGAAACTAAACAGCTATCATCTATGAAGAAACTCGAAATCATTACCGAGTTTCTTCAATCCTTGGTTTTCCGTCATCTCCAATGGATATGTCTGAGTGACGTATATTATATCGGAACATGGCTCTCGCCCGAACGAGCAAACAACTTGTGCATAATCTTCTAGCGACGCAATATTAAATGTGTGCCTTGCATATGTCTTGGTAGTTCAGTAGTAAACTACCTCGATCATTCTCTTTGTGAATATATGTGGACAATCACTATTAAAACATCGAAAGTCGTCCAACTGGTATAGTGGTTAGCGTCGCTGACTGTTCAATCCCGGGTTCAAATCCAGCGCTCGGGTTCAAATCCCGGAGAAGGCATGGATGTTTTTAAATGTATAGTGTCGGGGCGATATGGCGGCACTGTAAATATGCGGCGAGCCGAATATCCTCTCATGTGGTTTGGTGGAAGGGGAAGGGATGGGAGACCCTCGGATCCGTCCTCCCGCGGTGCTATCCATTGGGTATGGAACTGTGCAAAATCGCACTGTTACCTGTAAGATGCTCAAGGCACAGGCTGACGACAGGCGTATCTTAAGCGCTCCTTGCCACGAAGAATTTTGTCGGCTTAGGCTGATGTTGCTGTCACACAATTGAGCATAAGTAATAACAACAAACCTTCAAAATTCTGAAATGGATGTTTCTATCTCTCCAGAATGATACCCATGTTCGTGATACAAGCCCGTGGGGGACCCACAAACTCTCTATTACGTTCGTCACATTCAGAATTTTTCGCAGCTTCACAATGATTTATCCTCTGATGAAATCATCCAAGTGTTTCTACCTGACTTTCTATTTGACATATCGTACTGCAACAATATCTGTATGTCAGTTAAATCAGTATGGGGGCATCGTGCAAATAAAATGGTTAGGAAATGTTATTATGTTTTACACCCTTTGCATATGCCCACACTATGCCATGCTCGGCATAACGCATAGGCGCACTGCTTGCCGTACTGGACACTACGCTAGTAATCTTTCGTTTTATTCTATTTGTTCATTCCTCTGTTACGTAAATTTATAAATATATCGATATTAACTATTAAAATAAAAATAAAGACATTTCTGCATGTTTTTGTCAAATATTTAAAAAATTGATTATGTTACTTCATGTTAAAATTAATTAATTTTTAAAAATTCAAATGTTTAGAAATAACTTTTTTTGAAACTGCCACTGTTTCTAAGATATCCTATTTCAGTTATGCAAGCTATTTTTTATAGGTCTTGGATGTTTAGTTTGTTCGTACATATTACCGCTACGACTTAATTAAAATTCAACAAATTTCCAGAATACGCCACACTTTGACATACATGTTCATAATAAACCTTAAATTTTAAAAAGCAACGTAGTCGCATCAATATACGTTCTTTTTGTTGTATTTCAATTCCCAACTCATTTTTTATAGAAAAGTGCTGAGATTCTAAATTTAAATTCAGATTTTTAATGCGCACCATCTTCATGAATGCAATATACAAAGGCTTTTCGCATATTTTTTAGACGACTTTCATTGTAGTTGCAGAAATATTTTACCTATACTTTTTGTGTTTTAAATGTTCCATATGATAACCTTTATTCTTCATTATCTTTCCACATCGTAGTTTTCCAAGCCATAAAGCCTTTTTTTAGTAGCGGAAGAGGTATTTTATATACTAAAGCTCCTGAACAACTTTCCAACTTCCAAGAAGCTTGCAGATCGATGTCTGGAGAATCCGCTTTTTAAAAGTCAAAAAGAGAAAAAATCCGTAGATGATGCATCAGGCGATTTAGTAGGGATATGAGTGAAGGGTATGGCCTTTATACACGTTTCTTGTTTCATTTTTTACAGGAAATTGATACTGCTGTAGAGACACTAACTTATTGCGAAGCAGGAGAGATGAAAAAGGAGCAACGCTCTCGCCGGGAATCGAATCACGCCCCTCTCGAATACGCGTCGAGTGTGTTCTCCACTACACTACGAAGGCATGCTAAGAAGGCCGCCGAAACACCTTATATACTCCCCCTTTTAAAGAGCGACTGGGGATTAGCGGACCCAATAGCCAAATTTTGGGGTGTGGAGAATCATCATCCACCACCCTTTTAGTTCGGGCGCCGCAGTAGGGACATTAGGTATTTTGGAAGCAGGAGTGATGAAAAATGAGCAACGCCCTCGCCGGGAATCGAACCACGGACCTCTGTAATACGCACCCAGCGTGCAGACCACCACACCACGAAGGCATGCTATGAAGGCGGGAGAAATACCTTATAGTGGATTTTGACGTCCGGTTGCTTGCTTTGTCTTGATGCACTTCTACTGACTGATGGCGCTGTGGGTAACGAGAAGAAGAAGAAGTGAAACAACAAAAATCAGCGTTATATTTTCAAATTTTCACAGGATTAGTTTCGATGATTTTATCGAACCATCATCCTTAGATGTAAAAGCGCCAATGAACAAGACAAGATATAGGGATTAGATAAGCCTGGACAGCAGTCAAGCTACTGGCGCCATCTGTTGATGAAACCGGAACTAAAACATAATTTTTTTAAATGCTGAAGAGATTCCTGCAAAGAGGTATTGGAATTAGGGTCGTTAACTAAAACAGAAAGATTTTTTTGAATGTGAAATGCCTCTAGAAAATCCAGTTCACCAATGGAAGAAGTTTCTTAAATAATTTTGGCAGCAGAAAAATTGGCAGCAGAAGAAGAAGTGTGATTTTCGGACCAACAATGCTGGGCAACGGAAGACTTCTGTGTTCCTTTTTCTCTAACATGTGCCTAATGATACTTAACGCGAAATTTTAAGGCTCTCTTAGTTTGACCAATGTAAATTAAACCACACTGGCAAGGAATCCAGTAAATACCCCCAGGAATTTATACCCGGAATGGGGTCCTTGAGTACGGAACTCTGAATTTTATTGATGGGAGAATAAACGACCCGAAAGTTAAATTTTTGTAAAATACGTACAACTTTATAGCTAATTGACGAAAAGAACAGGTAATTTAAATATGAAAAGTTATTTGATATTTAAAATCTGGGTGCAAAACATGTTCCTGATAATATGTAGAGTTGACCTTAACAGTTTTCTGCACAGTCTTTAATTTTTATTTGTCATTATATCAAAAACTATCAACAATCATAAATCCCTTTGAAAAACTTTCTTTAGATTCTTTGAACCATTTTCTGTGGAGAAAGAAGATGCACATTACGTTTTTTTAGCCTTTTTAAGATTCAACTCAGCACTAATTGCTTTGTTATAGTTGCCACTGATCATTTTAATGATTATGCAACTGTCTTTTGACTTCAAACGCAGCATTTTTCAATAACTAAATACGAATAATTTTCTTCGGGAAGAACTCAAGCATGGCCTCCCGTTCATTGCTTCTGTAAAAGCGCCATTTTGCATGAAAAAAAAATTGTCGAATAGCAGACGATAATTTACATTTTCAAAAATATAGTTAAAATTTTTTTCTAAGCAAGCGATTTCTTTTATAGCAAAGCAAAGTCTCTAAAAAATGTGAGAACAGCATCTGTATTACGATACAAAGCCGTTATTGCTTTTGCTCTTGAATTTGTTCTTAAAGCGATCGCTTCGAAGTTTCTATTAGAACAGAAGAAACAAAATTCCTCTGTTTATTAAGTTTATTGATTAATTATTGGGCTCATTATGTAATTTAAATGTAGTTAGTACGTATGCACGAAATAATATTTTTCAGTTATGTGTCACCATTCTTAATCTTCTGTATTAAAATAAAAAACCACCAAACTGAGCCAAGAGAGTTGTGGTATCACATAAGTACATTTAGTTTTAGAAAAGGTGATTACTGAACGGTAATGAATAATCAGTTTGGTAAGTCTATTTAAAAGAAAGGTAAATACTCACGTAATTAATTGGTTGAATTCGGATAATTTTTTCAGAGGTATAGAATAATTGTAGGTTCCTATTTTCCCAAGAACTTTGACCAACCAAGGGAAAACGGCGGTAACTGATACTGAAAGAAACGATCTTACTACCAAATCGACATGTTGACTCACTGCAAGCGTAACCGGGTGGCCAAGAGGTAGTCGGTTTCCAAACAGCAATGTCATTATGTTGTTAGCAAAAGTAGATGAGAAAACCTCAGAGACATCCAAGGGCTTTCCATGCTCTTGTTGTATCAGATTCACCAACTCATTGATTTCTTCCTGGTTGAAATACAGAAAAGAATTATTATGCGATTTTTAACTGTTGGCCAATAAAATTACTACATCATAAACGAAGCACAAAAAAAAAAAAAATGAAATTGTCATGAAATGTAAAATATGCTGGGCCTGTTAATATATCTTCGCCTTCGCACATTACATATAAGAGTAATATTACTTCGAACCAGCATAAAAGTCAGGCTGATATGTCAGTTCTGCATTCCGAAATCTTGTTTATTGATTGTTTTCTGTTTTGAAGGTCGTGTTTTGTTTCATATAAGAAAAAAAAACTCATTCAAATCCCAGTATAAGTTCAATCGCCACACGCCAACTTGCTCCCATGAAAGAACACTATTACAGTTTCTCGCCAGACCAAAGCAGCGTCCGGAGTACTGAAAACGATTTTATATGCTGGATGTTAAATGTACTACAAGATCTTCTCTGTATTGGAAACCTCCCGCAACTTGGAAGTTAAACCATTCGCCGCTTTCTCTCTGGGAAACTTTTCCGTTCGTCTACCGCGCCGGAGTGGAGCCTCGGAGGGTATCGTACGGCCATATCACGGATACTCATTAAAACACTGCGCATAAAGTGTCTGCATGAACGAAGGAACTATGTCTGCAATGTACCGGACATCTAGCAAAGCGGTGATTCCTTCAGTTCCCTAGAGGCTGCAACACGGAGATCAGGTTCTATAATGCTGCATCCAATAATGCATATAGAGAGTCATCAATGGTGTGATGGCCTTTTCTGAAGAATCTCGCTTTTTCTTGCAGCAGAATCATGATAGCCGTATCTCTGACTGGAGGCAATAAGGAGAAGGAATATTAGAAGCTTGTCTTATTGATCGCCATACTAGCCCAGTTGTCGGATTGATGTTATGGGGTGCCATTGGGTGTATATTCCGTTTATATCTAGTCCGCATATTTGGCACTTGGACTAGCCATTGTTAAATTATTGAGTTTTAATCTCTCCAAACGTGCCATCTTCGGGGCTTCCATCGTCCCGCCTTTCAACAGCACATTGCAAGACCGCATCATGTCCACACTGTACTACGTTTCCTCAGACCATAGAGTGTTCGATTTCCACTTTGATTGGCGTGTTCTCCAGCTCTGTAACTAAACATAACTAGATAATTAGTCAACGGTTTAAGAAAGATACAGGTTAACATTTGCCAATCAGAGTGAAAGATGCTCTCCGGCATGAAACTGAAGCCTCGTGGACTGCAGTACTTACCACTACCATGCACATTTTTTTAACCTCATGCCCAGCCATACAATAGCTGATACTGCTGCTAGAAGCGGATGTTTTTAGTACTTTGAATATCATGTACCTCAAAATTACAACATCCCGTATTGTTGATGGAACCTAGCAAGAATTTCCTGGGAAAAACTGGGATATGAAGAGCCACATCTTTACACGACTTTAAGGCTAAAACGAATAGGTTTGTTTAAAGAATAATTCAAAGATCTTACCGAAACCGTCAGGCAGCAGACCAAAGAAATCTTCCGGTCTATTGGCAGTAGCAGTTTGGCTGAAGGCGTCTTTAACTGATGTCCAGTCGTTGAGAATAACATTATACTTCCTTCCAAGGTAGAGCCTTAAAGGAATATTTATTTTCATAAGTACCGTAAATAATAGAGATTACCAAATTTCATGTTATTAAGAGCTATAGGATAAGCTCTAACTAAAGAGCCTATATTTAAGAACTTTAGCTAAATATTTTTAAAAACTGCAATAAAAGTTTCGAAGAGACGTAAATAATTATTATTTTGTTTTAAAAGAAATGAAACTCTGTGAATATAAAGAAACATTTCAAATAAACTAACAGCGATTTTGCTCTTTCTTATTTAATGTGGTTATTTCTAAGCTTAAATAAACAAATCTTATTTCTGTTTGAAGGAAAATTCAACACTTATCCAAAATTACGGAAATACTATGCTTTGTTTTAGTCGGTAAACTGTAATAGTAGCTATCACAGTTTAACGTGATTATGTTATAGTATATAAATTCTCAAGGTTGTGCAAAAGCAAATTGCAGTTGTGATATACAAAATTTATTTCGTAATAGAAGGAAATAAGTGATGTATTAAATAAAATAATGTAAGTAACAAGAAACAACAGCTCTATTTATTAAGACTAAAATGCTACAGAAAGTTTTATTATGAAATTTTTACGGAGGAATATTACTTAAATAACGGTTACGATTTTTAAACGGTTTAAAATTGCAAAGAACTTTTTCTTATTTTAGTTTGAAATAAAATGGTGCTGAGGTGCTGATCATCCACGACAACGCCAGAAACTGGCGGAAATGCACTGGGAAACGCTTTATCATCCACATTACAGCCTAGACATATTGCTGTGCGATTTTCACATCTTTGGACTCCTCAAAGAAGTACTTGGAAATAAGAGATTTGATACCAACGATCAAGTGAAAACATTCATGCTCAACTGGTTAGATACCCGTCCAACTTCATTCTTCGAAAACGGAATGAAAATGTTACTAAAACATTAGGAGAAATGTATCATAAAAAGAGGAGATTATTTAGAAAAATAATTTGTAGAAATTTAGGTGTTTCCTATGAAATGAATTTTATTTAAACTAAAGCCTCGTTTATATTTGATTCACCCTCGTACGTAGACTATCGTTCCTTTCAACTTCTTCCTTCGACTTCCGCAGCCTAACTCTATCACTGTATAAAGTTCAACGGCATCTTTTCTTTCTCAGCGTCGCATCCTCAACTGCTCCACCTTAATCGTTGCAAATCCCTTTCCAGTTATTTTCTACTCTATTTTAGAGGATTTAGTATTAATCGGTAAGTTTTTTATTACTATCTGAAGAATATTTCTTCACAGGCAGGGGACAAATTGAGGGCGTTGTATAACGCTGTTAATTTTCGGAATGGGTCCATCAGAATGTCATCCTTAGTTAAAAGTTTATAAGTTCTCCTTTCGTTTGGCTGATAATTCATTGAATCTCTGTTTTTCAAGGAATTCTGTAAAATATTGCCTTGTAACTTTACCATACAGCCCACTATTCAGGATATTTTGGCTGGATGAGCAGGAAATGCGAAGTTTCTTGAAGTTTGCGCCTCACTTATTGTAGTTTGACTAATATCATTAGTGACTAGCCCGTTACCCATAGTATCATCCCTTTCACTACCGACTGGCTTGGCTGAACGTTCCAGCTCTAGACGTATTTGCTACAACCAGATTCAATGAAGTTGAATGCAGACAGATGACGCCATTTGTGCCGTGCTTGTACGTAGAAAGTTGGACGACTGTGATGTTTACCTAAGGTGATGTTATCATAACGTCACCGTTAAAGGTGATGGGTTTCCGAAGCAGTGATGCTTTTGCTTTCCTAAGCAGTTACAAATTTATCTCAGATTCTCGATAAGAAAAACTTTTGCTATATTTGGCACCATCTTTGGCTTTGAATTCACTGCAACTTCTGATCAGGATTTTGTTGAATAAGTGAATTATTCATCTCTGAAATTGTAGTTTTTTCAGCAGGGATGCTGGCAAAAACATAATAGCTTGATTTTCAACTAAACTGTGTGGACGCTTAGCGCTTACCAATTTCCATTCATATTGGTGTCATACTCCAGTTCTATAACGGTATAGGACCTGTTCGGAAGAGCTTTCAGCTAGGCCTAGAGGAGAACTGATCTGAGTCATTTTGATGCTTAGGCAATATCTGAAATAAAGTATATGAATTTCCTTAGCATGGAGAATTCGAATTCATTCACCGGATTAAGAGGTGAATATTTTTTGCATGCCATAAAGCTGAACCGTTGAATCATATGTCCGATAACAGACATATTGAATGGGAATTCAAGTACAGAATCACGGTCAAAACTCCCTCGATCAGAAGTATAGCTAAATGAGATCTGAGGAACACTCAAAGGCCCTTTTTACAGTATTCCGAAAGCAAACATCGGTGTTCAAACCGTTAATAACTTACTAGCATTAGATCAATAGAAGAAAAGAATAACAAGTCTTGAATGTAGCAAATCCGAGCAGCGAGATAGAAAGACACCTTCACTTTCAGAGTCTCAACAGCGAATCTCATGTCTCTGAAAAGTATTCGTCCCATTTTTACTTGCAGTCCAAGCAGATTTTAGTCAAAAGGGGCTTTGTGCCTGAAGGAATATTGCTTCGTTTTGCGATTTTGTGTTGAAACCTTTTAAAGGCTGTATCACTTTTCAAGTCGTTGCCACCAAATACTATCGCCCTCTATTATATTAGAATAAAGAAGAAATTAAATAAAGAAGAATCTGCATAAATGTATGTATGTTTCTCGCATTATGATAAAACAACGGTACCTAGAACCATCCAATTCTGAATTACGTAATCCTACTGCGAATATGGGCATCTGAAAGCCCAAGTTTGAAATTTGGAATTTGTTTTATTGTCGACTAGCAGCTACGCGGTCAGCCTTCGTCTGGCTTTTAAATATACCGGAAAAATGCCTGAAGGGAACGCCAAACGTTAAATTTAAAAACTGCGCAGAATTTTATTCTGCAGAACAACATAATTTTTTTTTAAACCACACAAATTTAAAACAAAAATGTATTACATTTAACATAATGACAATGAAATAAGCAATATCCCATAACACAAATATTAATTATCCTAATAAATAAATTCACCAACTTCCCGTTGCCTTCTCTCAACAAACATCCGGTATCGAAGAGAAACATTAAATTTAAAAAACCGCACAGAATTATGGCCCTCATTTTTCCACGTGGCAACATTGCTGATTTTCAACAGTCAGCAGTCCAGTATACAATTGAATGAAAATTGTTGCCAAAACCACATTTCTAAAAGAATGAAACTATTTAAAATGATGCGATAAATTGGAAAAAATAAAATAAAAAAAATCTGATTCGAATTTTGAAAAAATCGCTTCGAAGTGCAATGGCTCTTGTCTACATGCACCTATACCAAATTTCGTCGTCCTGAGTCTATTAGCTTACGCTCAGCACGAACGAAAGACACACAGACACACATATTTCATATTTTGTAAAACTTTAACGAATTTCTGATTAAACAAACTCAACGATTTAAAAGCGAACAATGGCAACACTGTACGGGGAAAAAAACCTTTTTATCTCGAGCGTACGTGGAGAATCCAGATATTCTTCACGGACTGGAGGAAACGGCGTTCGCCAAAGTCCTCATCTCCTTTCTTCTTGCTTAAAAGCAAGATTGCTACAAGATCTCCAGCGCGCAGAGCTGTGTATCGGAAATTCTAAAGATATGTGTGCGATGTAGTGAGCGTTGTTTAGCGTAGTAAGAAATCAGATGCGTTATTAACAATATAATTTAATCATTTATTCTTAGCGAGAAGAGAGACAGCGTTAATTCAGCGAATGCATGTTGCGTTAGCGTTCTACTGCGTAGAAGAATAATGTATCTCAGTTGCCAATTATCAGAGACTCAACTTTACATTATTTCTCGTTGCCAGATGTAACAGATTAACATAATAAATGCACAATAACAAAAATGCGACGGGAAAGTGCTCCGTTAGCCCAAACGATAAAGTTACAAGTACGGACAATATATGCTCATTTTAAAATTATTTTGCGACATTGCTGTTGAACTGAATTTTATGGTTTAAGTGCAAAGAACATAATATTTAATTAATAAAGGTAACACAGAAAACGTTGATAAAGCGCCACTTTGGATGTAAGTTAAAATCTGAAACCTTTAAGATTTTATTTTTTAAAGATTTATATGCGAGTTTATGACTTCAGAAGGTGAGAATACATCTGCGGTCTTGCTATTTAGGAAGATGACATTCATTTTAACGACCCTCCGGTTTCCAGCTGTGCTGCAAGAACGATCTTTTACGGTTGCTCAAAAGTTTGAAAATGTAGATCTATCGCCATGCTGAATTAATTCAAGGCTAGATTTAATGAAAAGCTGCTGAGAACAACAATAATGATTTCAGAAAAGAAAGGACCTAAAAAATGTCTAGGATCACAAAATTTAGAGGCTGAGAGGTGTCTGATTTACCTGGGAGTTGGAAGTAGAGAACCGTTGCCAGGCTGAATTCATTTGCGGCTTCGACTAGGGAAAGACAGCCTACTGAGAGTAACGAAAGCAAAGAAATGGAGCCGAATAGGATGTCCGGGACTATGAAACTGGATGGCTAACGAGAGCAATTTGCCAGGGATAAAACCTCAATGTACATTGATAAATTTAGAGATCATGTCTGTTTCTTGAGGGTGAGGTATCTACTGCAATGTAATGATATCTTCTACTTTGACAAGTTTTGTTTCTGTTTTCCGATATTTGTTTCAAAAGCAGTTTCTTCATCAACTGTAATCCTCACTCAACTCAGATTTGACATAATTCCCAAAATGGCTATTTAGAACCATCATAGTAAATGAAAATTTGAGATCTTTATATAATAATTCTCGTTATGAAAGTACGTTTTCTAAATTTAATCTTATGTATATCTAAGCCAGTCTAAGTAAAATATTTTGAGATTGTACCTGTGTGCCAGATTATACCATACATATGCAAAAAGAAAATAATAAATATTATAAAAGAAGATACATAAAGATATATAAAGAAGATACATAAAGATATATAAAGAAGATACATAAAGATATATAAAGAAGATACATAAAGATACATAAAGATATATAAAGAAGATACATAAAGATATATAAAGAAGATACATAAAGATTATACCATACATAGCAAAGAAGAAAGTCTGCGAGTGATATGCCTGAGTAACATTTCACCTTCTGTTGATTTAGGATTTTATTATCGATGAGTAAGTAGAAATCTGGCAAACTATAAAAATTTTTGTTTAGCTTCTCACAGTGTACAACAGACACACACCACGCATTTGCATTTGATACTTTATTTGCATTATGCTATTTTTTCAACAACTTATGCTAAAACTCTAATTCAGTTTCTCATCCTAATATATGATAATATTTCACTTTGAAAATATCAATAAGAAAAATGGTCATTGATTACAGGCCCTATTTACTTATATGTACTCTATAGGTACTCTAAACACACTTATCCTGTGAATCAGTTCAAAAGTTAAGAGTAAAAATTGTTTAGTAATTAGACTTAGAATATAAATGCATTTGTGTCGGAAAAAGCTGTTTAGTAATTAGACATAAATTTATCTGTGTCTGAAAAACATTGTTTATTAATTAGACTTATATAATAAATGTTTGCTTGTTCAAAATTCTGAATTATCAGATTTAAATACACAAGCATATTGCACAAGCATACAGAGTCCGTCAAAAATTGCGTGCACATTCATCTTAACGAAAACCTAATTTTTGTTGTGCATTAGTACCGAACTTACCTATTTTATCACAAAATCCTACATATCATAAATTAGGATAGGTTTAATGCAATTATGATACATCTGCAGCTGTACATATGCAGTTAGTTACTCTACTCAAAGTGGTTATTATCAGTGACCAGACGCGTAGTACAACGGCAAGCGTTTTCTTGAACACCGTTGGTAAATGTGGGCACAAGGATTGCTGCACATGCTGGTATAATTTATTGAAGAAGGAGCTCCAATGTAACCGGTTTCTTACGGTACACAGCAGCCTTCAATATCCTCCTGAAATAGAGGTCCAGGGGTGTTAAATCTGGTAAACGTGATTGGGAACTCAAATGCACCTCTTCATCCTCTCCATTATTTCCACAGATTTTCGTCTAGGAAAACCCGCATACTTCGGTGATAGTGCCTAATCTTGTAGGTAGAAGAACTGTTTCTGTTTCTATAAAATACACCTATAACTGGTAAAACCGGTATGGGTAGCGTTTCCAAATAACCTTCACCAGTAATTGTTATTTCCTTAGAAGAAGAGTCCTATTAAATTTCAAGATGGCAATCCACACAAAGCATTAAACCAAGGTAGATTGATTGACTCGTCGACATGAACGTGCGGGTTCTCTCGTGCCCAGTAAATATAATATTGTAGGTTCACTCATCTGTTAAGTAGGAATTAGGGTTATTAGACCAGACAAACTTCATCCGTATTATAACGTAATAAAACCGTTTGCAAAACTACTTTTAGCAATTCGGATCATCTTCATTTAATGCACGCAATAATGTTGGGATGGATACTTGCCACTTACCTTCATACACTCGCACTACTAATCCCCGTCTCATGTGCGCATTACGTATTATACTAACTAGGAGATATTGCAAGCTTTTCTAAAACCATACGATATTGCAAGCTTTTCTAAAACCATACGATATTGCAAGCTTTTCTAAAACCATACGATATTGCAAGCTTTTCTAAAACCATACGATATTGCAAGCTTTTCTAAAACCATACTTAACGTAGCAGAGCTTGTAGCTGTATGACGTCTTCCGGATAACCCTTTATGCACATTGCAAATGCTACCACGCATCTCAAACTTATCACGAAACTGTGTAATTTCCAAGTAAGTTGAAGGCTATATTAGAAACTAGCACCTCCACTGACGTTGAACTTTACTTGAACAAATTCAAGTTATAATAGAGCTTTAAAAATTCACTTCCGTTCCTCAGATATCATGCGTGCCTTCAGACATTTCGATTCACTAGCACATACGTCATGCATCAGATGCTACGGTCACAAGTGTACCCGATATCTATTTAGAAAACACCATGCTACATACAGTAATGATAATTCAATACGCAGATAACATCTGTCAAAGTATGCATACACTTTTCTGACGGAGTTATATCGCTTAGAGATAATATTTTCTTACACTTAGCAGTGTTGCTTGGTTGTAATATCGACTGGAAGTTAATCTTTAAAGACTAGAATTTTATTTAAATATTAAGGCTACCAGGATATTGGATAGATTTGAGTGGTACCAGCCATCAGGTTATCATGTGTGATATCTTTAAGCTCAGCAGATTCGGCATATGTAATAATTTATGTTATATTTATTCATGTGATGCACAAATAGAATAGTAGAATTTAAATAACGACACCTTATAAAGATAAAAAAGGCATTTTAAGAAAAATTCGGACGACTGCTGTTTGCATGCATTGAACCTATATCCATGTGCGTTATTTGTTTAATACCTCCAAGCAGGTGTCACACTTTTCACTACATGAGAAAGTTTCCATTGATAAAACGAAATGGTTTATTAGCCCACGCGCTTTAATGTTTGTGAATATAAGCTTCTCTAATCAACCGATAAAGACTTCCAAACGTGAGTCATGTTCTTCGATTTCATTTTCATTTTCTCTCTATATAATTTTTATTTACTTAATATTACGTTATTAATCTAGTATACATTCCACTCCCGAATAATCTTCCATTGATTTTACTTCCTTGTACGAAGCAAAGGAAGTATTATAATGGCAGAAAATTTGGGCCATCACATTTCAAGAAAAATATCTATTTTGAGTGGTCTTGAAACTATTTGAACAATTTCTTGCGTGGCATCTGTACGTATAGACAGAATAAAGGATCTTTTTTCAAAAACGGGTTGTAAAACTGATTTAAAATGGATTAAGGAGAGACATTTTTGTGACGTCGGTGCGTACGTACGTATGTATGTAGCTCGCATAACTCAAAAACAATTTGCCGTAGAAAACGTTGAAATTTTATATCTGGAAGTGTTATTATATCTCTGTTTTGCTGCAATTGGGTGCATCAAACGTACGCATATATATATATATATATATATATATATATATATATATATATATAATACACACACTCACTCTGGGTGAGCTCTGTTTTTTATTCTTATATGCTGGAAAGTTAATATTTTTTTTTAAAATTAACTTTAGCCTTTAAATTAAAAAACCTGTCTAGGATAGCTTCGAATTTTTATGTCTTTCTCTAACATTATACTTCCTTACTACCCAATTTATCCTTGAAATGATCTAGGAGATGTTGCTGTTGCATGAAGCAGAAAATCTTTAATATATTCAGAAGTAAAAAGTTTCACTGTACGTAACATTTGATCCTTAATTTTTCTTTCAAATTAAAATACCTTAACAAATTGATTCGAACTCATTTATTATTATTTACTTTAAACTCATAAGAATAGTAAATTTGGAAGGTTTTAATTTTTCGTGTCATAAAACTTTTAGTTAAGAACAGTTTAATTGTAATCTTACAAAAGATTTTGAATGAAATTTTTCTGAGCAATAATTTCTGGAATTACCATTGTTCTAGAATTTCTCCCTTCCTTTTCTGCTCTCAACAAGATACGTTTTGATGAACGGAATTTTGAAAGGAACAGTAATTAAAAAACGTCGGGTAATAGAAAATACGATTTTTACAAATTGCGTCTAAAAAATGTCTGCTATTTTATGTGGATACGCATACAAATATATTTAACATGGAAAAACGAAATCTTATTACGTATATCAATGATTAAATGATTTCAATATATTAGAAATGTTGAATTGTAATTAAACTAAAAAAATTAAACTTTCTACGAGTATATGCATATTAATATATAAAGATAACATTTTTGATAGAGAATGAGGCTTTAAACGTTCATATGACCTTCAAGATAAGTTAATATAAATAATAAGTTCAAGATAAGGTAAAATATAAATGGATAAATATTTTGAAACATTAAAAAAATGTACGTAAACAGAAATAAATGAATCTTTCTTAATTCTAATTACAATGAACTAAATCAGGGTGTGACTAATAAACATATAATAGTTTAGAAGAATAAACTCTTCGACATCAGAATAATCACTGAAACCATAACACTTACCCAAACACATTTCCATACTTTTTGGCAAGTGCAGCAAATGTCTTTTGTGGTTCCTTACCCACAAATGGTAAATAACCCACAATTGGCAAGCCAGTTGGGCCAGGAGGTAGTTTGTATTTCTTTCTGCCAGCAAAAAAGTATGCTATTCCACAAAGAGCACAAAGAGATACTATTACCGTTAAAATCATGCTAGTACTTCGCAATTCAGGGATGTTCATGGCATTTTGAATAGCTTGTAAAATGGAACTGAGTGCCATCTAGAAATTAGAAAATTTAGTTTTTCAGTTACAGGGATAGAACAGTGTTCAATTTTGTATCAAAATCTCTTGTACTTTATATTATCATTGTTTTATTTATCACAATCGATATTTATTTTTTCACACGATTCAAAAGAAGAAAGATTTCGTGTGGATTTTCAGCTAAAGTCTGATAATAAATAGATAATTTTTCAAAGGTAACATCAGATATGATATTGCAAGTTTGTTATCCTCGTCCCCATTACCTAAGGACATTTTGTGAAAATGTCACAAATAGGCAGATAAGATGAATTTGAAAAAAATCTTTATCTGTTATTGCAATTGCTATATCTGACAATGTTTATAAATTTTTCGTTATTTTCGCGATTTATTCTAGCGTTATGTTGTTACTCGCAAAATTCATTTTTCACGGATTTCGCAAAGGCACCAAACTGATAATAATTGCATCCAAAAACTATACTGCATTCGAATTCAGAGTTTTAACTATTTTTTTTAGATATAAAGAATAAGAAATATAATTTTATAAGTAGTTTTTCATTTCTAAAATTCATAATGATATTCTCCCATAAATACAAAACCCCCATTTCACCGTTTTCAACAATTTCCAGCTCTTCTTCATTAAACAGTTCTCTATCAATTCTGGGTAAAATTTGCAGAGATGGCAGAATGTAATCCATTTCACTGATAGCAAATGTGTAGAATCTATTAGAATGTGTTCAGATGAAAATATGTCCGTCAGTATTGTCATAGGCTTAAAGTATAAAAGTTCGTTCTCAACTGCAGTGTAGAGTTTAAGATATAGCCAATCAGGGAAGGGAAGGTTGCTTAAATATGCACCTGACTCTGCGAAAATCATCGACCGAATATCAGTTCGCGTCTGCGTCGCTCTGATTAGTGATTCTTATGCCAAGTTGGGATAAAATTGAGCAGATAGAACATTTAGGAAAAATAATTATACCTGTTTCAGTGAAGTATGCAGGGTCTGGTTTGCTTGAATGAAACTCGGCTTATATCCCTTATGAACTCAAAGGCCTCGTCTGAACAATCCTTTAGGTTTGGTTTTGCTTATTTGATTATGGCAAAGTGCAAGACGGCTTTGCCTCGAGGAAGGTATACCTTCATGGCTGCCTTGTAGGGAAAACTGGCTCATTTGCACATTACAATTGAGGAAAATCCAGGAAAACGCCATGTAACCAACCTATACGCCTGGAATCGATTGCAGGGCAAACTACTAGCGTTCAACATCTTTATTGTTCAGAGCTAGTGGGCCAATCCTCAGGGCTTTTCAAAGTAGAAAACGGAAAATACCAGCAATGCCTTAGCCGGGAAATTTAGCAAGATTCCTGACACAAGTCTGCAGACAAATTTATAGGGGGAACGTCTTGGTTGGTCTCTAGACAAGAGATATAATATCTCGGATCTGCTTATGTTAAAGCTATGACAGCATTCCATCTTTCGACTGAACGTGATCGCCCATATCTTTTACATTAGACTCGACAATTCGCTTTTGACTCTGGACAACGCATGGACAAAAACATTTAGATACGTTTCTCTGCACTCAGTAGTCTTAATTCTGTCATCCACGATAACTGAGAAATACAACTGCTAATGACTGCGGCACCAAAAGCTAATCATTTGTAAATAAATAAATACAGTTGAACGCCGTTATAATGAACACGGTTTACAAGGAACCTCCGGATACAAGGAACAAATATTTTGATCACCTCCAGTTTCCTATACATTTAGTGCTATTTTATTTTATACTGTCATAGTGAACGGCCAAGAATATGTAAACGTATTTGTATTGTTCATATTTTTAAAAGCTTAAGGAAAAACGTTGCTAACTCTTAAAATCATCCACTTATATTAGGATTGCCTATCCTCAAATTAAAAAACTTTACCCTGTTTTTCTTTTCCTTTCATTCCCACTTTTCTCTGTGTTCTAAACAAAAGATTTGCGAGACATGGGTGACACACAACTTTAGAAAAACGAAGATACAGTAGGCAGATCTTACGACACCATATGGTATACATGACCATTGAAACCAAAATCTGAATGAAGTCTCGGATTCCGTTCAAATTCTCTCTTTGAGCTTCTCGGATAATTCTTTTTTTAGTGAATGAGATCATTTTCGGCTTACTTTGTTTGAGCACAAATTATCTACGTGTTCAATCTTTCGAATAGGATTTATATCCTTTGGTTCTTTTGCAATAAATATGATACTCTTTGCAAAGGTTGTTAAATCTTTCCATCGCAACCAAACATATCTTGGGAGAAATGTTTGTGTTCTAAATGGACACTGGATATGATACGCAGGTCACGAATCTATCTTCCTTTTTCTATATTTTCCAAGCGAACAAAACTCTCACATATTCTCTGACTATATCCGCAAGGCGAGATAAAAGCTAAAGATTCTGCATTGAAGAGAAGGTGAACATTATTAGAAAAATACAAAAATGGATGCAGTCAAATTGATATCTGCCAGAGATAGAATTCATTCAAATCAACAGCTGGTATATGAAAAAAATCAAAACTCTATTATTTCTGTTGGTGGAAAATATTCGGATACGAGGTAAAAGTTGAAATAGGTGGAACACAGAGATGTTAAAAAAGCATTTCTGCAGTGGTTCGGCATTCTAAGAAGGCGTAATCTGCCAATATCTGGATAAATCTTTCTGATAAAGGAAAAGGGATTTCCAAACACTTTGGGAAGAATGGAAAAGAAAACAACACAAACTGCGGTTAGTATTAATTGCAGTTAATAGTACTTTTCTATAAAAGAGATTTGTTATCATATTCTTTTGATACACAATGCAAAAAAAAGGGGAAGTTCAATATCTCCCGTTCTACTGGGTCGATTGATGAAATTCGAATTGCTTTTTTTGTAATCTTTTTATTATTTCATAAATAATTATATTTATTATCCTTTGATATTGGAAGGGCAGCTCCATATTTGTATCATGTAACCGTTGCTCAGCAACGTCAGAAATTGTTTAAAACTGTTATTCTGAAAATTTTACCAGCTAGTAGTTGCATGAAAAATTTATAGAGAAAGCAACTGTAATAGTGAGCTGAAGTGTGAAAGTGTAACGGATAGGATTGTATTTAAATTTCCTATATTTGTGAATTGAGAATAAAATTTTATGTTTTACAAAGAAGCTCATCTGTTATTTCTATAAAAACTGCAAAATGGTAGAGTACTAATTGCGCGAAATTTGATCGAAGATCCCTCCCCCCATTTTATCTGATCAACGAACTGCGCGACGTTTCCCTGTCCCATCGTTTTAAGAACTTGAATTCTCAAGAAGATTGGGTGCTACAAAATGTCATTTATCGCCATTAATGGGACATTTTATTGAGACTGCAAGCCTGTATTTTCGTTTATCTATATTGTAAAAATTGTGCATACAAAACAAATACTAATTTAAAATCTGCCATGTGCTAAAGTAAAAATGAATTTCTTTTACACTGATTTTAAAGTTTTGTGATGCTTAAAAGAATGAGTCAGATCTTTTTTATTCTCTGTAAGAATTAAAAACTTTCCAAGTTGTAGATTTTAGTCGCTAAATATATATACTAGTTTATTTACTAAAGAAATTGATTATATTATCTCCTAAGTTTAGTTTTAAAGTAGAATTATTTTAAATAGTGTGCATCCATAGTTAGTAAGTTATATTTGCGAAAATGTTTTAAAGTAATTTGAAGCAAAATGTTAATAATGTTTTAACGGGGACTGGAGTTAAATCATGAAACAAAATTTCAATTGTAAAAAGAAAAAATTAAAAGCAAGTAATTAAATTAAATGCAAGTAACCATTGCCATTGATCGGAAATTAGTTGACTTTTCAAGGGGAACAAACCAACTCCCGTTCAATGAACAATAATTAAAAAATAAATATGAAGGTGTTTCGTTCTTTACTCGAGTTAATAAGGCGATAGCCAAACCGGTAATTCTAGTCAGGCCAAACATTTCCATGAATAGAAGGGTTAGAACCAATCAAGAAATTAAGAACTCTTCTCATGAAGCATTTTAGTAATTCAATTTGGAGTAAAAAGCAATTTCTGTAGAAAATTGTAAAACTCGAGTAATCGTCCCCCGACACCCATCTTTATGTATTTAATTCTAAATTATTTGTAAAATTAAACATTGGAAATTGTCATTATGAAATCGAAATTCAAAGTAAAGTTGAAATAAACATTAGAAGATTATAAAAAAAGATAAATAATGCAAATCTTTGCAAAAACAAATCAAAGAGAACATAAAAATAATATAAAAATTTAAAATTAAAAAATATAATAAGAAAAGTGAATGTACATGAAGATATAAAGGCCAGAAAGGTATTAAGTAACTTACATTCTTTCTAGTGGGGGAGTTGGGCAAAGTGTGTTCTCTTCGTGTCTGACTCAGAAGTGTAGGGTGTCCGAAAATTCTTAGCGGCAGTAGGGGCTTTGAATTATATCAGTCGGTAAGACTTGGGTGAAGAAATTTATGGTAGTGGGGGACTTAGGAAATCTTGAGGGATGTATTTTGTGGAGTTCTTATCTGAGAGAAACCGTCTGTTAAGATTTTTTTTGAAAATACTAATGAATGGAAATTAATTATATAAAAATTTCTTTAGTAAATAAATTATATATATATATATTATATATAATAAAATAATGATTGGATAAAATTGAATAAAAATTGATTGATTAATGACATACACAAAACTGCTACATAATCAACCTATCAATATCGGATTTGTAGTACCTTAATAAGTTTCTTGTCTAGATAAATATTAACAAATCTTCTTAGATTGCAGAATGGTTTTAACTTTCAAATTTACCATTTTAGGTACACAGTTCTAATTTAATTTAAACAATTCCCTTTATTAAATCAAAAAATTGGATTTCTTAAGTGGTTCTAAACTCACACCAATATTATTGCAATATATTCCTGTATTAAACTTTCCATTTTTAGTCATTGAATATATTTTAAGGTTATTTAACTTTCTTACAAATTCCATATTTTAATACTAGAAAAGTTTAAATATTTATTCCATTTTCCAGTTACTCTACCTGATGTACTTTGGCATACATTTAATTTCTAATACAGATTTAATTAATAATTGATAATTATGAGCATCTGTAGAATTTTCATAATTAACAAAAA